TAGACTACCGATTTGTTTGATTTACTTCTAATTTGAAAAAAATACATTCCGTTTCACAGCAACTCTAAATAGCCAGTACTAAATTAACATGAAAAATTTATTCACAAAATTACTGTCGTAGAAAATCCACTTCGTTCGGTAGGAAATCCTTCATTGAGATCAAGTACTATTGTGGGAACTTGGTGGAAATCGTTCAAGCAGGGTACAGTTTATATCATGAACTAATTTAAAATAGATAACTGGTGAGAACTAATCAGAAATGAATAAACATATCAATTAAATTTGAGACTCCTCAGAAATTTTTATCAAGAGCTCTGATATTGGTTAACACAAGGTCTTTAGATATTCCGGCTAATCCTCGACTTTAAACTACTGAGTTGGTATTTAATGGTCGATATTTTCGACTTTATTGAACTCGTGATTTTATACTACCGCCATTCAGTGTCTTTCATGATGTTCATCTCATTTTCAACATAGATTAATTCTACTAGCTACAGTTTTTCATTGGAACTGAGGTAATTCTTTGAAAATTTGTCACCAGTGAACATTCCAAACCTAAAACAAAATAGTTGTGAGATGCTCTCTGGTTTTCATTGGTTGTCTAGTTGAAGTATTCCTTGATGTGAAAAACAGTTCAGTGCTGGTTATTACAATCAGTAAATAAGCTACGATACTCGCAGTTCAAATAGACAAGTTTATTTTAGTGTATTATATGGTCCTTATATTTGAATTTCATGCATTCTGTTTCTACATATCAGTGAGAATCATTTTAAAAAGAATTGAATTAATCGTTTGCAGTCTCATTAAATTTCCACTTTTAATCTTATGTTGTATTCATTTCTACCACTAAACTAATCACTTATATTAAACACATAACCTAGTGTCAGTATGCAAGGATATATAAACTACTGTTTTTGATACCCACCTTATATGGCATTCAAAATCACGAATTTTACAGGTCCTCTTAGTCTATATATTCTACTAATTAACCAAAAACTCATCATATATACGACAGTTACACAGCATGATACTTTTAATGTACTGAATTAACAGGGATTCAGAAAATTTCAAATATGATTTGTTTATTTGATAAGAACTGATACATGGATATCAATATATAACCATGACTAATGACCACACACAATACACTTGTTTTGCTTCTTTAAATTATTTAGAGAAAATAGGACATTGAAGAACTGATACGTGAAGTTAATTTAAACAAAAGTCTACAATCCCAATAAGTTTTGATAATTCCATATTCTATCTGATTTTCATACTTTTTCAAATTTGTTTTTCAGCAATTTAAATAATAAAGAAGAGAATATGTACTAAAATTGTTTATATTATGATGAATAATTAAGTTAACTGAACTTTCAAACTAAGTGAAATTGATAAAAACAAGTTATGTGTCAGTCGTTTCATTCATCGTCAACATCTCAATCTACAAAAGTGTATACAGAATATTTACATAAACAATATTTGACAGGAAATATACTTGTTTACATAAGTTTGTATATGTCCCTGTTAAAATCTCGTCAGTTTCATGATTTTGTAGACTATTTAAAAACAACGTGATATTTTGTCTAAAAATCATTTTAAATTTTAAAACAGAGTCTATTTCCGTGTGGAAACATTGTTAGATTTTAAGAAGTAGAGCATAAATAATTCAATCACTGAAAATTCAAACCACAATTGCTAAGGCTTATAGACATCTTGTGCTTACGCCACTGCAGTGAAACTGATAACAGTTAGTACTCTGTCCAAATAGATAAGATACATTTACTGAAACGCTAGATAAAATTGCTTTATTAATAAGAGATAATAAAATCCTAGTGATATTACGCTGTCTATTCAAGTATAATATCTTCATGTGCCAAGGATTAATAAATTCAGCAGTAAATGATAACAAAAGCCATATTGAAAAGAGCAAGAACAAAGATTTTAGCTTAATAGCAAGAATTCATTTTTATTTCTTAGGTTCTCGTCAGCTGCTTACAACCTGTGATATTTAAAAATGTAACAACATAATGGGTTTAAATTACTTACATGAAAGAGTTTTGTTAGAAGTTATATGGAAGACATATTCATATAGTATAGCTACTAAATGAAAATGAATTCATGCTATTCTGATAGAATCTCTGTTCGTTGTCATTTCAGGATGATAAAGGGAACTATGTGTATGAAAAGTCAAATTGTTTAACTTTCAATAATAACAGTCAGACCTTGAATGTGATCAAAGTAACCTAATTTACTGATTCATAGTATTTGATTCTACAAATAATAAGTAGAAATTTCTTCGTCAGGAAACTGCTACTCATTCCAAAAATCGTTTGTAACTAACGGACTGATTCCTATTTACTGAAAAATTTAATCCGAAACATAACGTCAGTGCGTAATGGGATTAGATTAAGAGATAAAACATTATAATTTAGAAAAAATTAACCATTTGTTCTGTTTTTTTATAGACTAGTTAATGTAAATTTACCTTGAATGCATATCAATCTCAATAAATGATTGTACATGCTCTTAAGAATTAGACGATCGAGACACTTCAAAAGTGAAACCCTTCTATGAATAAACAAGACAATGCAATATTTCATAAATTCAGTTATCAATGGGGAATAATAACTTTTTAAGGTTCATGATTTAAAACCAAAAACATTAAGCGATAATCACACCGCAATCTTACAGCGACCAATGTTAGACCAATTATACGATAAATTTCAAATTTCAAGTTGAACTACTGGCAATTTGTAAGTAGCTCATGTTTCTTGCCAATTTTGAGATATTAACCGCTTAAAGGTGAGAATGAAGTGAATATATTGACACATCCTTTACATATATATAGTGAGTATATTTGATTTTAGACTGCATACAATTAATAATAGTCAGTGATTGCGAGAAGATACTTGATATCCTTGTTTTCAAGTATTATTATTAACATATCTATTCATCGTGACATATAAAACATGACTCGCTTGTTCAAAATTTCGATATGTTTCAGAATTATTAAATTGTAAACTTTGATAGACTTCATGTAGAAGTACAAAAATGTTTTGATTAATCTACATACAAAAATACTGATTTTCATGCACCTAAAAGTAAAAGAATTTTTTACATAAGAATATTATATTCTCAATAATGTTTAATAGAAAATAGTTGCCAATATATTTTTATAACGGCTCTGACCACAATTTAAAGAATATAAAAATAGAATACTTCTTACAAAAAAGTACTCATAAAATAAACACAGATGTTCGTTTCTTAATTATTAGGTTAATTCAGTGATTCCATTACTCACTCTTCTCTAATCTACCTAGTTATTTAACAGCACTAAAATATTTTCACTTGCATTTAAAAATTTTGTCAAGTTTCCATTTCCAAAATCATCCACCTGAACTACAAATCTGCACCATCTCAAAGTTTCCATGCTACAGATAACAGTAAAGCTGAAACTGTTAAAGTCTACAAATCCAATGATAAAATTACCGATACAAAGGAAATACCTACTTCTAACTGTTGTGATCACAAACAATTTCCACCATTTTTGCAGCATATTGTAAATTAATAGCGTCAAATAAAATAAACGGGACGTGCAACTACTGATGTGAACAGAGAAACAATAAGTCTTGACAAGCTGCTGAAGCTACTTTCAGTTAATTCGAAGCTTGTGAAACATTAACATTTATTTTTGTCCCCAGTCTATTCTACAGATCATAAGCTTTCGTTTGATGTATGATTCACTGCCATAGCCCTTTTTGCTCCAAAACTATTGTAATTTAAACGTGTTATTTTGTACTCTATTTTATACGCTAATCCCCAGTTTTGGACCTACTTGTATTTCCCTAATTATTGTATGTTGTGGTCGGGTTGGTCATGTATCTTCTTTACAATGATCTGAAATCGTGAACCAGATTGGAATCGGGAATACATCGAGTAATGTTCCAGATGACTTGTCTTCTCGCACTCGCGTGCTTGTCAGCCAATCAGGTGATTGAATAGTTTTCTTCTCTCTACCCCACTTCGAACTCATGCATACTAGCCTCAAGGTTAAGCCAGTCAGTCCATCGCGTCAAGGTCTTAATCTAGGTTAGACAAGTAGCCTCAGCACCAAACGTGGGCAGACAGATCAAGGACGTAACAACTATATACTTAAAGGTCATTTTCAACAAAAACCAATGTCAACTGTAGAACTAAGAACTAGTAGTGCTATCCAATATTTTCCTTTCAGTGTGTGACACTTTATTACTACTATTCATCAATGAGAATTCACTAGTTCCAATCGTATTGCGATACTTTCAAGGAATTTCATGTAAGAATTAAGCAGCTATCCTACGCTTCTTGATTTGAAATAATTGTCTCGCTGAAGTTAGTTGATAATGTATACTACAAATACATTTACATTCCCATTATCTCCCTCTAACTAGATTATTTGTATTAATACATATCTAAATAAAATACATATTGAATCAAGTATTTTCAGCGCCTATAAACAAATGGGCGACATAATTCGAAGTGCTTAAATGAATCAAAACAAACCAGTAGGCCCTGGGTTCGAATCTCGCAGGGGGCGAGGTCGTGGATGCGCATTGCTGAGGAGTCCCACAATAGGACGAAACGGTCGTTCAGTCCTTCCAGGTTTTCCATGATGGTCTACCTTCAACTGACTCATGATCTTAACCATTGAAACAAAAATAATCTAAAAAGCATAAGTTTTGTTTCAATAAATACATAGTACAATCTTTTTTTAATTTAGAAAAGACTTGAAACATTCATCAGTAATAAAAGAATATTGAAGAAAAAAATTATTATTCTAAGAAAAAATACAATGTGGGAAGAAACAACATTAAATCATAATATCTCTCTTAAACGAAAATATCAGAAAAGTACAATAGTAAAACAAACAAAAAAATTAATAGAATTGACAATATTGATAATTGAAAATCCATTGAACATTTAAAAAGCATACAGTACATATTTATATCATTAATATATATATTTTAAGGGATTTTATGAAAATATTGATCTAAACTTCCAGAATTAGATTTAATTGATTTTTGATGTTTTTTTATTGATTTTGATTGTTTTAAATTAGATTTAATTTTAGTTGATTTTTGATTGGAAGATATTTTATTTATTAATGAATTATTTACTTGATTTGAATTAGTAGTATCATTAGATTTTGTTAATGATGTCTCTATTGATGTTGTATTTATATTAACCTCTTTATTTGACCATTCATGTTGTATACGTTGAGCTATATGAAAATCTTCATGTTCTGGTAATTGCCATATAGATATACGTGAATTACATTTATCACAAATAATCCAATCACCAATTGAATATGATTTGAAAAAATTAGACGAATCTGAAGTTGTTGATGTTGAATGACGTGATTCTGAGTCAACTTCTAAATAAGGTGAATCGTCTAATGTGGATGATTTATTCTGTTCTAATGATTGATGCAATTGTACATTGGTTGTTGTTGGTGGTGGTGGTGTTATTGAATTGGAAATGAGTTTTCCACTTTGATTTTCTACTAATAAAAAATTCTTATTCTCACTTGTATTATTATCATTATTAGTAGTATTATTATTATTAATATTGAGATTGTCAATCAATGGAGTTGGATGAAATGGAGCTGAGATTTCAGCGACTCTCAAACGTTTAAAAAATGAAAGATTATTTGTGTTAATATTTACAGTAGAATCATTAGAATTACGTTTTCTATCAGGTGAAATGTTGACTGTATCATTTTTAACATCATTATCAGAAGACAATTGAACTAAAGATGGTGATGTAGACTTTTCAGGTGGAATAGATACCATTGATTTTTGCTGAACAACAGTATCATATTTTATAGATTCTATTTGCTTTTTTTGTAATAAAGATCGAATATCAACATTTGAAGTAGAGGAATTAGATAAGAATCTTCCAGCTGAAAGACCTAAAGAATTTATACCAGGATCCCTAAACAGGAAAATAAATTTCATAATAACTACTGTTAGTAAAAATTAATGACTACAATAAACTATTTCGTAAAAGTATACTAGGAAGTTACCCAGTACATATAATCGACTTATGATGTGAATATTATGAGATTATCATTGGCAGTGAAATCCAGGATGCGTGCGTTCTCTTCTATCTGGGACGTATCAACTTAGTGTACCTACATCCCAGTGCTCTACACACTGAAACTCGAACCCAATACCTACCCTTTCAAACTACAAAGACATACACTGAGCAGATAGGTTACGATAACCACAAACTTATTCAACAGGTATAAAGGAGACTGGTTAACATAGTTATTCATACTGATATATCATTATGACATTAAATCACACAGGTACTATTGACAAAAAATTTTAAGACTGACAACCATATATAAGAACTCAATCGTATTCTGTTTAAAAACCAGAATACTAAGGCAATGTTTTTTAAAACCTCGAAATAGTGTCACTTGATCATTGGACTTCGAAGTAACTGTTAAGATGGTATGTTACTCAAATGATTCAAAGATCATTGAGAAGACTATATTTCAATCAAAAATAAGTCCCTCGTTTTATTTCAATCGTTTACTTCCTGCCTAGTTTAGCAGCTGGGGATAATGACTAAATACGAATGCTTATGATAAATATAAAGAAGTTAGTAATATTAATACGTTTTGAAACCTATGATAATAACCTAAATACATTAACCTATCACACATTAGGTTTATCAATTTGCCTTGACATGAACGAGATCAAAGGTATTCTACATGATTCATGCTTGTAATACATAATTTGAAAAACTTGGGTAACAGTTGAATAAACTAACAACAACTGTAAAATAATTATTTGTACCAAGTAGTCAATAAATACAGTACCACATTGAATATTATTTCCAAGAAATCAAATGTATGAATAGTTCATATTAGTCCAGCTGTAAATAGGGATCTATGTTATTCTTGTTAAAATAAGATGTATGTCAGAACGAAGGTTAATAGTTTATACTAAGAAACTAATAAAAAAGCCTCCATGAAATAAAGGAACATTAATAAAAAGTATTTTATTCCAATGATTGCTTCTATCTCATTGAAACATTCACAAACAATAACCAATGCAGATAGCAAATTAACTCAACGAAAACAGCAGTTTGATAGTAAAGAAAACTAGGATGTATGAATTAATAAGGAATCAAACCACAGCCTGGCACAAATTTACCATAATTCAATATCAGTCAGTCAGTAACAACGTAGACCCTCGTACGTACGCACATCAGTTCGAGTTGCCACATCACATTAGCACAGAGATGCAATTGCCGATTCAAATCCCGTAGTCCTAGATGTAGTAAAATTATAATGTGTAATCAAAAAATTAGGGTTTGAAGATGTTATTCAAGGAGTATAATCCAGTGAAATAAATTTGGAAAGATAAAAAGGAAAGGGACATGAAGAATTCAGAAGATTAGAATTTGGGAGAACACAAAGAGTGGATGCACCTGCGCCATTGCAAACGATTTTGAGCCATATCATTCAGGGTCTCTAACCATCGGTTGCTATCATCTCGCGGTCCCCAACCAGATAGCCTACACCTACCAATATGACTCAGTCTACTTGTCAGTGACTTCATGGACTTGTGCCATGTTTTGGTCTGGCCGCCCCTAGCTTTCTTCAAACCTACTCCTATACCACTGAACATGATCAAAGTGATAAGAAGTCAACAATATGAAAATTAATCAATTAACAATGAATGCTACGTATACAGAATGAATATACAGTTTAAAAATAATGGATAAAAGCAAAAAAGGGAAATTATGTAGTGATTTAAAATATTAGTAGTTGGACGAGAATGAAAAGCATCTGCATCAGACCCATCATGTTCATCAATGATGCTGCCCAAATATGTAAAGGTTTTTACATCTTCCAAATCTTCTCCGTCAATTGTGACTGGATTGGTGCATGCTGTGTTGTATCGGAGAATCTTGCTTTTCCCTTTGTTTATATTGAGACGTACTGTTGCTGAGGCTGCTGCTAACCACACACAAATATGGTGATAATGAAAATGATGGTATTTACTGAAAACTCTATTCTCGCTTCGATTTACAGTCAAACAATTCACATTATTATTATTATTGTTATTATTATTATTTACTACGTCATTTATTCACCCTCTTTATTCCCACTTTATGTATTCTTATTTTTCGACTTATACAGTAGCTCGCTTATAGTGGAAACTCGGTTCTATCTAAACGTTCTCAAGTCACTGCCTAGTTGAAAATTGTATGCTACCACCAACTACGAATACTAAAGCAGTTGTTCTGAAACCACGTGCACCGTCCAACTGGCTGCCTTCAGCGTTCGCACACTTATGCAGGTTGGACAACAGATGAGGCCGGCTATGTCTTTGGAAAGTCTTAATATAGACGTTTGTTGTCTATCCGAAACCCGTATTCAAGACTCTGGTGAAGTACTACAAACTCGCTCTCCATCTGTCACTTCAAAAAGCTTGTTTTACGTGTGTTTATCCGGGGATTGTGTGACATGTTCGTCTAGTCTTGCTGGCGTTGGTGTCGCACTAAGCGCTAGAGCTGAGGTAGCACTAATAGATTGGGTCCCCATTAACAGTCGGTTATGTGTTGTTAGATTAGAAAGTTCCATCAAAGTGAGAAGAAATCGCCGTGAGAAACGATATCTTTTCATCATCTCTGCCTATGGCCCGACAGATTGCAGCCCGGATGCAATCAAGGAAGAATTCTACCACCAGTTAACTGTTCTTCTTCAGAGAGTGCGTTCGACAGATATTTTAGTACTATCTGGAGACTTGAATGCTCACGTTGGGCGTCTAGGTACAGGAGAGAGCCGTTTAGGTGGTCGATGGGGACTTTCTGGTCGCAGGACAGATAACGGGGACCGTCTACTGCAACTGTGCACAGACCACAACCTGTTTCTGGCTAGCACTAACTTTCGGCACAGTCATCGCCGATGTGCCACCTGACGTCCTCCCTCTGCATCTCAAGCCTGAACTCAGATTGGTCACATCGCGATCAGCTACCGCTGGCGTGGTTGTGTACAATACTCCCGATCCTTATGGAGTAACTACCTGGACTCAGATCATGCCCTGGTCTGCGCCAACCTTAACTTACTTTACAGTAGCCAACGAAGTGACCGCCACCAAAGGATTGATGTCAGCAAATCGGTTGCAACTTTTGTTGCTAGTAAGTATCGAACCGAGCTAGCTTCTAGACTAGCTACCATCCCACCGAAAAGTATAGATGAGCATAGGTTGTAACTTCATGACACCATGAAAATGGCGAGTAAAGTCGCTTGAGGCTTCGCGAAACGTCTCGATTATAAGCACTGAGTGGGTTTCTTAAGGCTCCTTACAACTCGTCGAAGCCCGTCGGTCTACTCCGAGTGACCGTGAGTTTGACCACAAACGAAGCTTGTTACGTAGTGAAATTGGGCAAAGCTTGCGTAAGGACCGAGAAGCCTGGTGGTCGAAGGGTGCTAATGAGCTGGAAGCAGCAGCTGCATCTGGTAACTACCGGAAGCTCTTCCAACTCATCCGAGCCACTGGCAGCAAGAAGTCTGGTGTGAGGATGATGGGATGCCAATCATTAACATCCATCGGCTTCTTGGACGATGGGCAGAATTTTTCGAAGGGCAGTTCAACTGGCCTGATGCTCCGGCAACATCGGTTAGGCTTTCCTTCCCTCTATGCCCGGTGACGACTGATCCACCAAATGAGGCGGAAGTCCGCAAGGAACTCCAACTCTTGAAACGCTACAAATCACCTGGCCCAGATGACTTACCTCCGGCTCTTTTTAAAGATGGTAGTGACCTTCTGACTAAGGGACTGAGGACGTTGTTTACAAAGGTCTGGGAGCTAGAGATAGTTGTCCCTACCTTTAAGAAGGGTTTATGTCGTTCCTGTAACAATTCACGTATAGTGAAAGCCAGAGCGGCTTATGCCAATCTGGGCCATCTTTGGCGCCTTCGTGATGTCAGTCTGGCTGTAAAAGGTCGGATCTACAACGCGTCGGTAAGAGCAGTTTTGCTCTATGCTTGTGAAACCTGACCTCTCCGAGTTGAGGACGTTAGACGACTCTCGGCGTTCGATCATCGCTGTCTCCGAAGGATTGCTGACATCCAGTGGCAACACCATGTTGGTAATGCAGAGGTTCGGCATCGTGTGTTCGGGCGCAGAGATGATAATCCAATCGGTCTCACCATCTTGAAACATCGACATCGGTGGCTTGGACATGTTCTACGAATGTCGTCCTAGAAAATTCCACGTCATGCATTATTTGCCGACGATGGGACTGGTTGGAAAAGGCGGAGAGGTGGTCAGTGTATGACATGGTGTCGTGGTGCGAAAGAAAGCTCCAAAGGACTGGCTTGTGTTGGTCCTTCACGACTCCCTGGCTGGGGTCCGAGAGATAGTGCGACACAGTGGCTAGAGACATTATCAGATATGGCTCAGAATATAAGCCAGTGGCGATCTTGCTGTAACCTTCTTTTACCTTCATAAAAAGTGGTTGTAACTTCCTTAACTGAAAGAATTCTTTCTGGTTGTACCTTTCCGTTTCCCTCATTATTATTATTATTACACTACCTTACACTAAGTTGGTCGTCATTGTTCTTTTTTTTGTTTTACGCTACTTACCTTCTTTTTGCTCTTCCCATTCTGATTGTTTGTGTGGTGCGTATGTATTTGGTGCCCTCTTGTACCAATATTTATGTGTTCAAATAAATAAGTAAATAGTGCTCAATAATTCCATGAACTTGTGTTGCCTTCATCTGGTATCAAGTAAACTTAACTTCCCCAGCTTATGCTAGTAATCCTAATATTTCATTGTTTATATCATTAGCATGATATTATAGGAGTTAAATCGTACAGCTTTCACACGATTGTTATACAGTACTTTATCCATCAAAACGTATTGTTGATGATTCTGCCCAAATGATGATTCTAAAGTGCTTATCTAACAAACAGACTACAAGAAACTGTTTACGTGCATCCAAAACTGTTACGTAAAGTTATTAAAATATGGTAATAATGATGAATTACATTAAAAATCTAATTTTAATTCATCGCAAATTTTAAAGTGAAAATAGAACTCACCATATTTCCGGAGCTTCCCCTTTAAAAAGGACTTCCTTTAAAATGACCAAAGCAGTATTTGCAAGTTTTTCAATTTGACTTGTATACTTAAGTAATTTGTTATCTAAATCACTAGTATTACTACAGTTTCCATCATCATTATTCATGATACTTCGATTTCCATAACCAATGAATTGTAAAAGATTAGACGGAAGTGTACGTGATATCCCACCAATGTATCCTGGATCATTGGTTGTACGTGCATAAAGAATTAATCGAGTAGGATAACGTTGATGTTGATGATAATCAACATCTAATCTTTCAAATATTTCTTCAGCTAAGCATAATAACCATCGTTTAATTTGTTCACTTGATGTAAGTGTTGCACGTCCAAGGAAATTTTTACTACAACCAACAGACTTTGGAAGTGATCGAGTAGTAACTACTTCATGATCAATCCCATGAGATAAGTCATGAAGCCATTTTCTACGAAATGAAAAATTAATATCATAAATGAAACTAAAATCAACGAATTGCTTAGTTATGTGCCATGATACGAGAATTATTTCTTCTAAATGCTCAATAAAGTATTATAAGCAGAGATGCATGGAGGCTAGCAGTGGAAACCAGGACGCACGTTTTGTCCTATTTGGAACTCATCGGCTAGATGTACTAGTATCCCAGAGTTGATGTTTACCGCGGGACTCGAACCAAGTACAGTCCGTTTCAAACACAATCATGTTATACACTTTGCTACTGAATACAGATAGCCACTAGCTTGTGCAGTAGGGTGAAGTTCAGTTTACTAGTTGTTTGAATCGTCCCATCGATATCTAGAGACTGATGAATTGAGGTTCTAGACACCGATGGGAAGATCCAAACAACCAATCCAAATGAGTTTACTAAAGTAAAATTAAAACCTCATAAAATAATATCTATTAAAGTGCGATACAATAACTAAGCAAGAAAACAAAATAGTATACTGTAATGTGATGATTTTTCCTAAACACTAATATACACACCAGACGTTTTAACCCACTTTATTATGGTTAATTTTGTCTCCTTACCATTCTCATTATTTTACCTTTATCATCTATGTTATTGACTGAAATAGAGTTAATTCTAGAATAATGCCCACGATTTACGTAGCATAGCGTGTTAGTACCATTTAGACGTTTCAATGTTACCACACAATTTGTTATATGCTTGTGAATTATTTCTTATAGAATTGTTTAAAGGACCCACCAATTAGTTGACTATGAAGTGTTAGTAACATACTGGATAACTCAGGATTAGAAATTTTTAAACTTAGTTATCTATAATCTATTCAGAAAGATTTAGGAGGAAGAACAAGTTCCGATGGATTAGAAAGAAGGACACCTCATCAATATATCAAAGAAAGATCGCAGCAAGTGTGAGAACTACAGAGGCATTACACAAATAATAGTGCCGTGGGAAGTTTTCAAAAAAGTGTTGCCAAACAGGATGAAAGATTTAGTAGACACCCAACTCACAGATCAACAGGTTGGATTACGTAACGATCGGTCGTGCATAGACCGAATAGCGACACTACGCATTATCAATGAACAATCAATTGAGTGGAACTCGTCACTATACATCAACTTCCTTGAATATGAGAAAGCATTTGAAAGTGTGCATAGGAGAACATTATGGAACCTTCCTCAACATTATGGTGTACCTAAGAAAATGGTCAACATCAGCCGGAATTCATACAACGGACTACACTGCAAAGTCGTGCATGGAGAACAGCTGACAGACACATTCCAAGTGACGACCGGAGTCAGACAAGGCTGTCTACTCTCCATCCTTCCCCTTTATTCTGGTGGTTGATTGGATTATGAAGATCTTCACGTCTCAGAGGAAGCATGGAATACAATAGACATGTTGGATGCAATTAAACAACTTGAAATTTATAGATGGTTTAGTTCTTCTATCCCACACACACACACACACCAACAAATGCAGGTCAAGACAACCACTGTAGCAGCAGCAGCCTCTGCATCAGTAGGCCTCAACATGCACAAGGGAAAAAGCAATATCCTCAAATACAACACAAAAAAAACACCAATTCAATCACACTTGACGATGAAGCTCTGGATTAGGTGAAAACGTCAAAGTTTCTTGTCAGCATCATCGATAAACAAGGAGGATCTGATAATGACATGGAGTCAAGGATTGCAAAGCAAGGGCAACATTCTTATAACTGAAGAACATGTGGAACTCAAAACAATTATCGGTCAACGTCAAAGTCAGAAACTTCAATGAGAACGTCATAAGCAACTATCTATGCAAGATACATAATATCCGTTGATCGGATACCATCAGTTACAATTGTCCCACATTGCGTTCAAGCAAATAAACTAACTATCGATTGCATTAATGGCTTACAGTACAATAAAGAAAAAAGTTGCAGTTTTTATATTTTTCACTAGTCATCAGGATAATAACAAGTTGTAAGAATATGATCCAAATATATATTCTTTTAACTCCAATCTTATGGTACTGCTAAGTTACGTTTTACTTTATTAAAACACTCAACACATTCATCAATGATCATACGGCTAACTGTTAGCTCTACTTTTTGATTTAAGACAGTGAGTTGATAAATCTAAAAAAAATTTTAATAAATAAACATAATTCTGAAATTTAGTCGAAAATATGCAAACATTTAATGAAGTAGTCTAATAAAACTTACGATGTTTTTTCACCAAATTCTTTTGTGAGCACAGACAATGGAATTGAACTTAGCTGACCAAGTGTTTCAATCTTCAATTGTTTAACAACAGCACTTCCAAGTTTACCACCTAAATTACGTCTTTAGGAGAAAAATTAAATATGATACTAATCAACTAATAATTTTTTTAAAATCACTTCAGTATCACATAAGTGATTAAATTATATAATATCAGTGTAAATTAACTTGAAAACAGTTTTTGAGTGAAAATAGATATCAACTACAAGAGCCTGAAACAAAATACAATACTGAACAAGTGCTTTGTTCACCTTTGAGTTTCATTCAGTGAGTAACTTGGAATTAAATTAATGATGATGATGATGATAAAAGTAATGTAATATAAATAAATCAACAACTTACGTCATTAACATATCTTAACTTACTAATATTTTAATGGTAATTTGCTAAGAATTAATTCATGAGAAATCATGAATATTTAAAACTACGCATTTCGCCTAAAACACTGTTACACTATTTTGTTCAGTTAGACACATATATCAAATGAGAATATTAATATGGGATACTCATGTAAGATTTGATGAACACTAAGATATCAGTAGTAATATGAGGAAATAAAATTTCACGGAAATAAAATTTTAATCGACATACTTTGATTATTCCAGCCAGAAAGTACTGTTGTAAGGAAATCTTGAACAAACTAATAAAAACAATCACCTAGCATTTCTATATTAACTGATAAGAAAGTCATGTCAACAAATAGTCCATGAAGACACTTCAGCTCTACTTTTATATACATCATAGACAAAATAAACTGTTGGTTATGTATGATCTCGATTTCAAATAAGCTGATAGCTATCCAAAAAGATGATAATTATACACTAACAGCTTTAAGATTGAATCATTATATTTATGAATAAACTTATAAACTAGAATATCAAGAAAATGAAGTACCAGTTCAGCAATTTAAACACTGTGTTTAACCAATGGATGATGTTAACCACGATCCTTTCACTGTAAAATAAGCGTTGTATTTACCGCATTTGACCATTTCCTCGTTCATTTAGTAATTCATCGTTCGTTATTTAAGAGTAATTTTCAAAGATTTCATTTGAAGCCCTGATTTCCACTATATCTGAGTTTTTCATTAGGTATATTGAGTTAAGATATGATATAGTGAGCAGGGATTTAAATGACTGAAGTGAGAGTAACATAAAATCGATTTTTCAAATGTCTGTGACACGTCATGTACACAACTTAGAACATTATTCATATCTCCTGGTTGTATAATATCGTGGATTTACGTTCACATTAAGTTACTAGTTAATGATGTTAAATACTGCATAATCATATGAAAATTCGAATTTTCCGATCTTATTCGATTTATTTTTGGTGTCAAATAAATCCTTATCGACCATCATCTCCGTGTTCTTTTTCATATCGTCCGATTCGCAGTTTTCCTGTTGCGGTAGTAGGATTTACTTTGGTGGAGTTTTGTTCTCTGAGCTGGATGGTTTGGTCGTGGAGCTTTCATCGTTCTTCTGAACGACATCATCAGCACAAACTTCAAATAGAAGTGAAGTGTTTGAATTTCTCCATATGTGTTTCAAAGCTTGTTCTGTGCACCTTGATGTTGATTGGTTCTTAGATATAACATGCCATACTAGTAGTTCATAGTTGATAGTTGCGGATATCTTTAAAAGCTTCAAAATTACACTTCAATATGCAGCATTCACCCGCTAAGTGAACAGAAAAATGACTAAAAGTGCTGGATATAACATACTTTTATTTAACACTGAAAACGTTACTGCTAATCTCAATCTAACAATCTTGTCTCGAAATACAAACAACGCTCCATCTATTTTGGTTTCATCATTCAATTAGTATCAATGGTCATCACATTAACAGTATAAAGACTTATAACTGATAAAAGGAACTTGTACTTGACAACTGAATTCAATAATATTAACTAATTATTTGTGTTTTATTTCATTAGATAATATAGTAATAAATAATTTACTCAAAATAATCAGTAAACACATATCACTTACATTTTACTTATATGAGTATTTTCCAATAAATGGGAATTGATTCATGAGGAATAATTGTTTGTTTATTTGGTTTATTTAGACTGCATGCCAATTTAGCGATCGACTTTACCAAACGTGAAAAAGAAAGCAATAGTAATAAAGGAATCTAAGTCTGACAGTTAACGAATAGATAGAACTGAGGTTGAGAGGAGTTATATTTACTCTCTCTCTCTCTTTCGGTATGGGTATACAAATCAAACTAATACAATGTTTCATTAAAATCATGAACTGACTACCAATAATCTAAATCGAAAACCTGAAAGCAGTACAATACTTAGTTAAATTCTACATTAATAACATCAACCATGATTGTCGCTGATGAATTTTCGCAAGTCCAATAACGAAAAGTATAGACACTTACTGTATGAATACTACTACATTTGTTTATTTTCATATTCTCAATGAAAATATTATATTTGTTAAATACACAATGACAAAATTTTACATTGGAACTGTGAATTCTAAATTTAGTAATGGAGAAACATATTGTTCAGGTGGTTTAGAAACAACCCAAAGATTTCATTTTATCTCTTCAAATATGGAGCGGGAATACTGCCATTAAAGTGATCAATTTCATTAAATCGATTAAGACATCTGTCACATTGCCAAGTTATTATACTGAGTACTAAATAACAGCATCTCAGGTCGATGAAGATTCACTACCTCATCAACAGATTTGCCACCTTTACTAAGTACCCTATTCCTAACCAGTCAGTCAATCAGCTACAAAGTAGGACCAGGCACATATATGCATCGGTCCAAGTTGCCATATCGCATTCTATTCTTAACCACAACGTTGCCCAATCGATCATCCCAAGAAACGAGAGAAATTCTGTGAAGATACCTATGGTCAAAAACCTTCAACCTATCGTGTCTCCTACTTTAATAGATCGTCTCTCAGCCAAAAAATATAACAGAGGACAGCTGCACAGTACATATGTATTTTGGGTTGGCAGACGGTCATCTCGCAATCTGGATAACGGCAATCGTATTTTCTGAGTCCGTGCCGAAATTTCGTCAAACACCGACCCACCAGAGCAGATGAGATCGTCAAGATAAGTGGAGCGGTTGGCATATCTAACTAGTCCACTCCCGATCACTAGTTTAGATGTTGACGCATACCAGTCCGGAAGTAACATTTTCGTATTTGACAGAAGAGAAACATATTTCTAAGCAATGAGATCGCAATAACGACCGCTTTGCCAAACAACCAGATTAAAAGACAACAATGGAGTTCGATAATTAAAAATCGGAATTTTAGAGGCACTGCAAATTGATCAGTAGAATTCGATCAACAATAGGGAATAGATAAGCACGAAGTAGGTCGTTAACAAACGGTTAATTACAGTAAACACCCAAGTTCAGTAGGTTAGCTGAGGTTCTCTAAAGGTTATAAGCACGTCTTTCTAAAGTACCAGCTAGTGTCTAGGAGTCACTACTGACTGCTTCTAGCTGCTTTAAATTATAATTATAACTAGGAATGCACGGTCAAGGTAGTGCTGTGATAAACGAAAACTCAGATACAGTAAGGAAAACCAATTGATCGTTTTATGCGAAATTACACAATAAATAAATAAAATAAGAAAATCATACATTAAATACATTATTTGCATATCTTCCAGTTCTGTCGTTACTCCAATTACTCTTTGTTTTCCTCTTGTTCTCCTTAACTCAATTTTATGCTGGCAGACATTCCGCTTCCTATTGTTGCTACATGTATGAGTAGCATATGCCACAGTGCTACTGAGTAGCCAAGTACAAGGTGAATTTATAAACGGCGATTTGCCCTAATTGTGCAAACACCACCGAAAGCAAAGTAGATATAGCAGAGTTTGAACTGACAGCCTAATGACTGGCAAAAGCAAATACAGTAGTTTACAATAAGTTACGTTGAAGGAGCACTGCTTTGATTTAATCCTAACATACATCATATTATTTCGAACAACAAAAAACTCAAAGATGGGAACGAAAACACAGCTCAGTAAATACTATGAATTTCAAATTGTTTACTATCTACAATAAACGAGGTAGAGCACAGAAACAGCTTACTTTATTTGGACCAATCCCAGCGGAACATCTAAATCCTGTTTTTGTAAATACAGCCTGTCTAATGCGGTATACCAATTCAGAAGCTACAGCTAATCGCCTTCCTTCTGAAAAGTTAGAGTCTAGCAACTGGATCCAATCAACACCGTTGAGCAAAACACAGTTGGTTTTGGTAAGTTCTAACTTTGACTCCTCAGCAATATCGCTGCTAACTAACACGTAAGACTCTGGATTGGGCTGCAGTGATGACAAATTGTCATCCTGGACCAAAACTGAATCTACGATACCTATTAGAAGGCTTATAAGTATCAAAATACCAGCTTACCAGTTAAGTCAACGTAGGCCTCATCAATACTAGCCCTCTCAATATCGCTAGTAAATTCGGATATACACTGAATCACTTCAGAACTCGCATCCCGATATCTGCAGAAAACAATCAACCTCAAAATGGAATTTAAGTTACTGACCTTGTAAGTTCTGCTTACCTCGTTTCTCAGGAACTTTGAAAATAATCACTTCTGGATGCTGAACTCGAATTTCATCACTAAACATCCCACGCTTGATACCTAAGCCCTGGCTTCGTAACTTATGGCTAAAGCTCTAAAGATTAAAAAAATCATCAAAATAATGAACCAACCCTCCACCTTTCCACTCACTATACTGTGAAACAACACACGGCTTCCCTTTAGTTTCAGGAAATTCCCGTTGTTCAACCTGAACATAGAAACAGTCCATATCAAGTAGCATCACGACTCTGTTCATTCCTAAGTTTCATAAGTCCTCTCTAAAAAGAATAGTACGGATGAACAAGGGGAATACGGTGCAAAAATAAATGTGTTGAATGAATCAACATTACTGATGGTGACTACTTATTTTAGATTCCAGATAAAAACCTGAAGTAATCACAACGTAACCTTTCTAGCTAACCCACAGGTACTGACCATAACTTCACTGAAAATACAAATTTGAAAAGAAACTTTACAGCAGCTACTATCGCCTATACAATTTAGTTATACAAACACAATATGACATTCACCTTAATCATAAACGACTTTGGTTTCTGAATTTATCCGAATTATTAGTCACACTCACTTTAACAACTAATGATACTACCCGGGATTTATAGTCGAAGTAAACATGACACGTTTTGATACACTTAAGTGCTAAGGTGTGAAGCATTCACATCGCTGAATAACTGACCTATCAAAATTTGTACCGATTTTTATTTCGAGTAGTTATATAGTTTGGACAAACATTAGTTTTTTCTGAACTTATATTTCATTTCCTTTCTCTTATCGATTTCAATTGAGTAACCGAGTGAACTGAATAGCCACTTGTTTAGTTAGTAGTAGGATAGTAGATCAACTGGATTCAAACAATAAACTGAAGAAAAATAGTGCTATGATATTCCAAGTGCTTGACCACTGAGTAGTGAACAAGGACATGTTTGTTTTATTCTTTATTGCTGATTGAATTCTATAGATCAAGATATGTGATCACTAGTCTGTGACTCGAAAACATGTGCACTATGTTGCGATTTCAGGTGACAAGGAACCCTTGACTTAGGTTTCGTGCTAGTCGCAAGTATAACGTGTTAATTAATGCCAACTAGCAGGAAACCTGAGGCAAGGCAGGCTACCCCAACCACCTAATATTCCAGTTGTGTTTATCAGTAGGCAGGAAAACAGTGGGTAACATTTATCCAAACAAGGAGCTAATAACTGAGTATTTAATTTAAATTTTTAATAAATTATAGCCACTAACATGTTTTAGTTCGAAAAGAATTTGAGTGTATATTAAGATAAAATCGTTTTTAGACTGTTATCGGCCTTCTATAAAAATGACAGATTAACATTACCTCCAGTAAGAACACTGAACTGTGAAAACATGGTAAACACATCCCGAAATTTTAAGTCTCGCTGAGCAGTAGTATGTACAATGCGCCTTATGTAGACTACACTATGCTTGTAGTTCATAAAGGACAAAGTGTTCCCAGAAAAATTAATTCACAGAAATTAAGAACGAAAATCTCAAGAGATTTCCTACATCTTATTGACTGAAATTTGGAAAATAATCAAACTGACTGACTAGAAAATGAATCTAAATGACGGAAAGATTGCTTACCTGATAAAACACTAATAGATCATCCGCACCAAGTCCAGTTACCAAAACAATAGCTAATAAGTTAATAACTGGGAAATGTGGAATTTTTTAATACTATTGTATATACCGTATAGGCAGTTAACAAAGACCAGATAATAGCCAATACAGTTAGAATTGGTATGGAGATCGTTCGAGTCCATATAGTCAATAAGATTAGTAAACATATTAAACTAATAAATAGCCAAGAAGTATCACGATAGAGCAACTGAGTAACAATTTCATCATATTCTTGTATATATATTCCCTGCAAAATATGAATTAAAAAGAACAGATATTCACATTAAACTATTCTGGATTCAATTGAGTAACTTTAACTTAGAAACAGAGGGGATAATGGAAAATACTCATACAAATGTATTCATTTTCATGAAGAAAACCATTATCAAATATGGAAAAGTCGAACTATATGCCTATAATATATGCAGAACTAATATTTATGGAGACATATCAAAATTTACTCTTATTGTGACGTTGATACATGTCACATCTAATAATCTTAATATTATAGACACATAGGTAAACAGTTAAAATTAATAACAATCATTTATATTACAGGTAACAAGCTTCTGATAATAACGAAGGATACAGTTCGATGATTTCTTTGTTTACTAATAATTCATTTTAGTTTGATCAAAATGTTAAAAATTATAAACAAAAATATGCAAGGAAATGGACAGACCTTATTAATTAGTTATGATCGTCTATTTTTCAACAAAGAGAATGAATGTATTGCAGAGGCGAAATGTTTATCAGGTGAACAAACATATTTTTATGACTATTTAACAAATTAATGTGTTTTAACGGCAAATTATGAAAATCTGTATTATAATATGACAATTTAATAGCTCATCAACCAAATAATCACCTTACATGATTCTGATTGATTCAAACTGAGACAATAAGAATCAGAACCAAGTACATATTAACTAATGGAAGAATATATGTAGTAGTCGACTACTGATAACTGAGATCTGAAGATTAACTGTTTGAATCTTCTATCAACATAAACTATCTTTTAGTCCCACTAATTATTTACACAGTAAATGGGCATTTTCAATTACCAAAATGTTGTTTATTATTTACAGAGTAAATCTCATAAGAATGTGAAACCATTTATTAATAGATACAAAAATCTAGCACAAGCTAATCATTTAGTTCGTGATATCATCACAACTCTTAGAAAAAATTTCAAAAATTAAAATTGTTATTAAAAGAATTAACATTTAACAATAAATTTATGAAAGTTGAATAGCCTTACAAAACACCAAGTATAGAAAAACCTATCTGTAAAGCTTCTAATCGAGTGAGCAATACGCATTATCCTCTAAAAAGATATCTTCAAATTCATTACTTTGTATTAAAATTACATAAACAGAATTCGCTGACTAGATTTTTTGTTATATTTCTTCATGATAAACACACAGACTTACTAATTACACATTAAAAACCAGATTTAAATAGTTTCATTATATTAAGTGAAAGTAAGTAGTGAAATAAAGAATAGTTAAAATTTATTCGACAAATAGCCTAAACATCATTATTATAAACTTTATTCATATTTTCTTATACTATCAATATAACTTACATCAAAATGAAATGGGATATGTAATCCTTTTGTAAGTCTACCTGATTTATACTCATTTTCTATTTCATTAAAAAACAAATGCGAACCAGTAGAGTGTATAGGCAAAACCATTAAGCTTTTTTCCCAATTATTAAAACTGTTACCATCATTTGGTAAGAGAACAGCCAAAATTATCGGCAATAAGGTGAATATAAACATTGTGATGGATATACCAAAGGACATATAAACTAGGATCAGTACCATAATTATCCCAACATGAACGACGTAAGTGACCAGAAAGAAAAGCTGGATAACAAGTAGAAATCAACTCAGCAGTTTGTTTAGCATCAATATATTCCAGCTAATCAATGAGTGGAACAAAAGACAAATTGGAAATGAATGTAAATATATGAAACTGAAATTCAGTAGTATGAATCACTTTTTCAACTTAGAAAATCAAGCTACATAATGTGAGGTTAAACAATTTGCATAAGGAACACTTACTAAGTTATAACTTATTAAAACAATACATCGATTTCAGTCAACACATTTACAAGTGACACAGTTAAAATTAACAAAAAGTACGAAATGTTAAAATGAATTAGAAAGTTATAAAAATAAACAGAATTCAGCGAAGAAAATTCCCTTATTTTGACAAAATCATTTGCTTAAACTATGAATTCGTATTTATAGATATTTGATAAATATATGTGTCTGCAGAACAGAATGATTCCAGATTTGAAATATTAAAGCAAGGTTGCATACTCACCAAGAATTTAGAAAAGAATAGAAGAGATTCAAATAAATTACAGATAGGAAATATGACAGAAAATTATCCACCGAACAAATATAAAACAGAGATTAAAAACATGAAGATCGTAAAAACAGTTGAATAATAATGAAAAGAAAATTATTAGAGGAAAATAGTAACTGATTACGGTTGAAAATAATAATCAAAACTGAAATAAGACCAAAATATATACAAATCTACAGCGTCAATAAATGAATTTGTCGTAAAGAAAATTGTCTTTGATGCATTTTCTTTATTTTTACTCAATGACATAATAAGTTACTTTAATTACAGAAAGTTGCATTCAAATAAACTAAATGTAACTCTGAAGTTAGGTACAAAGTTTCCGCATATCCTCCATCACTGTAACTCCTGGATTATGTTACTTAAAGTTGTCAGAAAACATTATCAGCAATCCCAACTAGATAATCTAAATGATTAAAAGCAGACAAAACAAGTTGTTATAATCGCACCATTTATACACTACTCTAACCTGATACACATGTCGAAGTTTGGACCAGATATTTTAAAATAAATTGATCATTGAATAGAAATTTAGTAATAAATATACTATTTGTGATGTTCCAATGGGTAGAAAAGTATATTTCTGACGTTTCGTAACTTAATGTAAGCCACTTCTTCAGAGTAAATCAAAGTTTGTGTGTGGTAACGGAGTTCCACTATGTAAGAATAGGCGACTAATATGGATGAAATATTCCAGGTTAGCTTCTTACTCAAACTTTATGGCTTTACATTCATTAATAAAAAATCCCAATCAACAATACAGCCAATGTGGCAAATAGTGGGTAAATATTATGATTCTTTAGCTCAATTAGCACATGTCCCACAAAATATTACAGAAACCTATAAATTTTCTTTGGTGCCGTTCCCAACCTCGGGTTAAGGAAAAGGGTCTGGTATGGGGTTAGCAACCACATCCTGTAGAAAGCAACTTTGACAAAAAACGCTAACCAAAAAAAACAACTTAAACTCTGCTCTCCGATTTGAAGGATCTATGTTCAGAAGAATTATGACGCCTCATGGTGAAAATCGATATTCTTCGGAAGTCACGAGGTAGATGCCTTTTTTAACAACCAGAGGAACAACCAATATATGTACGTGGAATGACCGGACAATGTGAGAGACCGGGAGGACCAGTCAATTAGCAACAGGAATGAGAAGATACAACGTGGTGGTTCTCGGAATCAGAAAATTTCATTGAATACAAGATCAACTGCAAAGGTTAGGTATGGGAGAGATGCTGCTGTACTCTGGTCACGAAGATGGAAATGCTCCGCACACTCAAGAAGTTGCTCTGATGCTGTGCAAAGAATCACGGAATTCATTAATAGGATAAGAATCTCATGGACCCAGGATTATCAAAGCATCATTCAAAACAAAGGAGGGAATCATAATGAATGTTATCCGATGTTATGCAACCACCACTGATAGCAGCGACGAAGATTAAGATCAGTTCTATGAGAGGCTGCAATTGATCTTGGCGAGTGACCAGGAAAGGACCTGACAATCCTGATGTGAGACCTAAACAACAAAGTCGGAATGGACAACATCGGATATGAAGATATCATGGGACGATATGGACTGACTGGGAGAAAGGGATGAGAGTGGAGAGAGATTCGCAAATCTATGTGCATTCAACAAAATGGTTATAGGCGGCACAATATTACCACACAAACACATACACAAATCTACATGGGTCTCACCGGATCACGATGGAGAACCAGACATATCATATTTGCATCAGTAAAAAAATCAGTAGGTCAATGGAAGACGGGGAAATCAGGAGAGGAGCTGACATAGCTTCAGAACACCACCTAGTGGTTACCAAGATAAAAATGAAGGTAAAGAAACATTGGACAACCGGACAAACACCATTACAAAGGTTCAATACAGTCTCCCTTTGACATACTGACAAACTCAACCAATTCAAGTTAACTCTCATCACCATGTTCCAAGTTTTACAAAGTCTGCTGAAAGAAGAAACTACTACGGAGGACAACTGGGAAGGGATGAAAAAAGCACTAACTTCAACGTGTCAGGAGGTTCTGGGCTGCGAGAAGTATCACCAATAGGAATGAACCTCTCTCGGACCCTGCACAAGATTCAAGAAAAGAAGAACAAGAAAACAGCAATTAACAACAGTCGAGCAAGAACAGAGAAAGTCAAAGCACAAGCTGAAGACACTGAAGCTAACAAGCACGTGAAGTGAAGCATTAAAACTGACAGGCAGAAATACGTGGAAGGCTAGCAGTGGCAGCATGAAAAACTGTAACAGAAGGAAATATGAAACAAATATATGGCACAACGAAGAAACTAACAGGGAAATAATACAAACCGAAGAGACCGGTTAAACACAAAGAACGAAAGCCAATCGCTTAGATTCAAGAACAGAGGAACAGATGGGTGGAACATTTTGAGGAACCCCTGAATATACTAGCTCCATTGAACCCACCAAATATCGAAGCAGTACAGACTATCCCATAGATGTCACTCCACCAACAATCTAAGAAATCAGGATGGTCATCAGACAAATCAAAAGTAGGAAAGCAGCAGGATCGGACAATATACCAGCTGGAGCACTGAGGACAGATATAGAAGCAACTGCAAGCGTGCTCTACGTTCTATTCAGGAATATTTGAGAGGAAGAACAAATGCCGACAGACTGGAATGCGGGATATCTCATCAAGATACCAAAGAAACGAGATCTGAACAAATGTGAGAACTATGGAGGCATCCGTCTAGAGAATAAATTAAGAAAAGACGTTAGAAGTGGATAGGATACACACTAAAGAAATCATCAAAATGCATCATGAAACAAGCGCTAACTTGTAATCCTGAAGAGAAACGGAAAAGAGAAGACCGAATAGCACACTGCATCGAGAATCGGAAGCAAACATCAAAAGGATGAATAGCGACTGGAAAGAACAGGAAGAAATTGCCCAGGACAGAGTTCGATGGAGAATGTCGGTGGTTAGCTTATGCTCCCCCACGAGGGGTAACCTGTTACGCTATAACTAACTAGAAATGTTGCAAAAACAGTAATTAGATGAAAATAATTTCAAGTATAAAAAGTCTCAATATACGCGACTGGTCGCAACTATTCAACCGTGTTCACTTTAAGCAAATAAATTTAGTTAGAATGTTTCTTATTTCCACACTTACTACTTCCATATAACGTCTATTTATATATTGAAAGAGAATCAATTGGTGAAATTTCATACTGAGTTTATCAATGGAAGTGCCAATATCGTATTGAAAAAAACTTGCAAAGTTTTCCACTAAAGAACAGAATTATGTTAAACATTCGGCATTTAACCAATGCGATGTCAGTTCAAACTTCACTCATAAGAAAGCAGCTGTTAAGAGTATCCAAAATATTCCAGACATTACGATTAGGTAAATAACTGAGAAAAGATTATTTGAACTGCATCGAAAACTCACCTGTTTACAAGACTGTTTATTGAAAATTGATGCAATCATGTTTGGCAAACACCAAATTGAACAACAGTTATTGTGCTCAGTTTTGTCAATAGTAATTTTATTATTTACAGTAAATAAATGTGTATTATTGTGTAACTTAGATGATTTCCTATAACATAATTTTTGATATGTAGATAAGTGAGTAATTCTCAACTGTAATTTACACAGATCAGATAAAATAATATACAACAATGATGGTTCACTAAAATATGTCAAATTCCTCTTTGAATTGATTAAGGTTTGCATGAATAAAGATTTATGAGGTATTTTGATAATTTGATCGTAATTTATAGAGAAAACTATCCGACTATATTTAGCATATATAGTCCATAAACTGTTAACTGGTCTGGTCATTTCACTAGCTATAAAAAATGAAAACAAATGAAGTTATGAAGCAAGCAGTCAAAACAAAACACTGGTATTAATAGTTGATTCTTTGACTAATATAGTGGAATGACCTGATATTTCGCATGATTTAAATTCTTCAAAAAAAGCAAATCTAGATGGCTGACAGACAGTTCAAACCTAATAATCTCACAATTTAGAGGTAAAATAAAAAACTAAATTTCGGTACGCAGAACATGTAAAGAAAAACAGTATGATATTGAGATTGGCAGAAAACTCAATAATAAATCAATACTGAAAGTAAAGTGTTTTGAAATTATGCTCCAATTTATCAACATCAACCTGAATATCACTGGTGATATTGGGATTAGAATGATCACTTTAAGTATCAGGTGTGTGGTAATAAACACTGGTATCCAGAAATATTTGTGAGATATATTTGCATCTCTAGGCTTTCGGACGAATAATTGACTCAAACAAGACGCAATAATAAGAAACGACCAACTAATTACTAAACGCTATATGATCACTAAGGACTTTTTCATCGTCTAGATGTAGCAGTTAGAGAATCGATATCAAGAAATTATTTATCGTTCATATAAGTCTAATTTAAAACTTATTGGCACTGCGAAAGACTAATTCTTTCTTAAAACTAAACCAAGATATGTAAAATGACCATATAGTATTGACTGGTGGTTCAGTGGATACATGATCCAACTATTCAGTCTTCCACTAACAAGTCTGTTAGGTCCCGATAAACATAATGAATGGTAACTTTAGGATCCTTTTATGGACCAATACTAAACGTATATTTTTATCGTATAATTGTTAAATAACTAAACTATTCATATTCATGTTCCTCTTATCATAGGCTTTATTTTAACCTATGAACTGTTATTATACGACTTTCCATTCTTGAATTATTCCCTGTTTATTAGTCACTGCCTCCTTCAGTCACAGCCACATCTGGCTGTTCTTGTACAAATGTTGTTTCATATTTTATTGGTACGTTGTGGTCTGTTTGGTTGGTATATAAACGCAGTATGTTTGAAATATGATTCATATTGCAGAGGCTGAGATTGGCGTTCTGGACTTAACGGGCTGGGCTAGGCGGAAAGCAGGACCAATCAGGACTCTAGGCTGTTTTACGCGTCCTTGGTTCGATCGATAATTCGCTGCTTCTGATTGACGGCTTTGAGCTATAACAAAGTCAAAGATTTAAACATCACTTCCCATAGACTGATGTGGGCTGCCGAGTGGTAATAATTTGCTTCCATATCTGATATCCAACTTAAACTTCGGTATCAATTCACTTAATCGGAATTCGATGCCGAAGTATTTTTAAATCTGACCAATTTCCGGTGTAATCAGTCCTGATTTATACAAAAACTACCCTGAAATAATTAGCTTCCCAAAAGAAAAAATGCAAACATTACCGGTTTCCTGCAGGCAATATTCCTTTCAAAATATTCAACATTCTTGTTACGTCGAAATCGACCAACAACCGTTTTATGAAAGTTAAATGCATGATTTTCAACTTCAGCTGAATTTAAATCATATTCTTTGTTCCACGTTAGATCGTCTTTGATAAAATATTCAGGACTACTTGATGTTTCAGTTAGTAATGCCTGAACTGCTGAGTACGAGCAGATAGACTAGTCCCAATCGCCACAAAATCCTAAGTACCAATTAATGGAAGGGAAAATGTCCTATTATAAACCATAAATTATATCATTAAGTAATCAGAAGTTCAGTCAGAAGTGCAAAATTCAACCGGTATGATAATTACTGTTTAAAAGTACCGAGATAGAACAGATTTCACAGCATGGTCCACATAGCATTTAAACACTAAATATATTATATTAGTACCGATAACTTTCTAGAGTAATCATAAAACTCATATTACTAAATCATCAAAAATAAAAAATCGCAATCACCTGATCAGAACAAAAGCTAGTCGACAAGTTTTTATGAGCCAAGGAACGAAGCTCGCAACATTACACACAACACACTGTCACATCACTCACTGATGTTTGCAAGTTAACAGTGGCTATGAGTCAGGACATTGTTATTTCGAAAAAAACGTACGTCTTATTACAAATCTCCGCTTTCTAACAAACTCCCGTAAAATTTCACATCGAAGAAAACTAAATTCAAAATTTCCACCAACCTTTACCAATGTCGGTAGTGATATTTTCTTCATAACGTTAAAATCGTAACTTCAGTATTTACATGAATAAAGTAGTAACAACTGTGTCAAATACAAAATTATGTAAGTTATACATTGGTAATTTGTATTTGTTACTTATTATGCGGGTATAAAAAATACAGAAAATTACTTCCACATAATTGTTAATATCTAAACAAACTAAAACACTTATATATCACCTTGCTCAACACAAGACAATAATGTGTCCCAGTCGTCATATACTCGGTATCATACTAGGGGCTATAAATCACACCGTTAACTACTACTAATACTTATCCTAACCCAAGCGGATTTGATCCCATGACCGAAAATGTCTCTAAGATGTGATACGCACTAAATAAACCCCATCTGTTGATACTTTTTAACCACAAAGTCATCTTATAGTGACAAGAACCCTGGCAACCCACAGTAAGACATCTTTTAAAGAAAAAGAGCGGGTCTAAAAACTTTACCATGATTTGTATAATGTGAAGACATCCTCAAAACTGACAACTATAGAGTTCTAAGCGAAAAACATGTGTTGAAGTATATAGTTATTTACAATACACGTTGAATAAAGAAATCTTCCACAGTGCACGTAAATGCGAAATGTCAAACATGTTTAATACGTTTAATACACAACAGAAACAATTAAATACCACTACCATTTGATTGAGAAAACGTTTCACTAGCCTTTCTTATGAAATTGTTAATACTTAAATGATGTGTTTGATCATTCGTATAGGCTTAAGAGTACTTCATCCAAATCGTAAAGTGCTATTCACCTGTAGCTATAGGAATGTCCATCATTAATGAAAGTAAGTTTAAACGTTGAAATTAAACAGCTATAGTATTTTCTGTGCGTATTCGTTAACAATAATTTAAGCATAAAAAATAACCTGACTAATTAAATATTATTACAAATTAGTTCAAATTCAATAAAGTCACCATGAGTTGCAATGAACTTAGTGAATTAAAGATTTTACATATAACACATATCACATTAAACATCAAGCAGCAAAGTAACTTAGTGTCATGTAGATTTCCTATCACTATTGTAACATATTAAAAAGCATTCTCTGGATTGGAAAACCGCATCACTCCTCATTCAAAAATCGAAGCCTACAACCTGTACTGTAATTCAAACTGATTATGAGACCTAGACGGTCAAACGATTCCATTGTATTACCTTACAATCATTATTTAAAATGACGAATTTCCTATTAAAAGCTTAAGACGATATTTGATAGTGCACAAACATTTTTGTAGAAATCTTAAAACAGATTCGTGTTTATATATATATATATATATATATATATATATATATCAACAAAACTTTCAAAAGTTATAAATGGATAGAATGGACTTACAACAAAAGGGTTGCTAAGGTCGGGTACATGAAAAAAGACAATACAACAGATGGAAGTCGACAAAATGAAGGAAAGTGATAAGGTAGCTACCAAATATTTCCAGTGAACAAGATGACGTGACAAACTGAAAAAAAGGATACAAAGTATAATAAAAGAAACACAAGTAGAAAATACCAATAAACAGACCATAACACATTGTGAATGTTCACATGAGCATTTTTTAGATAAGACTATCATATGTACGTGGCCACAAAGACGAATGGGCTGTAATAATACGAAATCTAGGGAACAGAAGACACTAACACATAGTGACTGATACTTGCAGCAAGATTTTTATATGTAGAATACTAAGTGCATCAATTGGTGTACGACTGTATAAACATAAATGACTTACTAACATACAGATTTTGTCATTGTTTGAATATGGTATTGGAAATAGAAGAGCGATGTTGACGGAATGGAGATTTCTTTTAAGCTGATACACCAAGTGGATATAAAAACCTATTCCTTTCAATATATAGGAAGACTAGAGACAGCTTAATATATTTCAATTTCTTTAGGACCTGATGTCGTAGTTGTTCTTGCCATATGGGATAGAAAATCAGTGACACCATGGGAAAAATTTTGACGACAAGAGACTGACTGCTCATTATCTAAAAACTACCTTCTATTTGTAACGCCTAGAGCTAATAATCACATCGCAGTAAAACCCCTTCTACGGATATAAACCAGAAAGGATTGAAATAATTCAGCTCTCACTGGTAAGAATAATATGGGCTGTACATCTTCCTCCATCTTCGGGAAATATTCTTCCAAATAAAAATATATTATACAACACGTGAAGCGATAAATAAGTCGAACGTAGCTTTCACTCACCCATTATAAGTAGAAGAAATGACAGTTGTTAACGAAGTCTTAATCAGTCTTTTTACAAAACTTGGCTTTTGAAAATTAAAACCAAGTGCTACTGACGTTTCTGAGGCATGTAAGGTTATTATTCCTTATTCGTATGGATATTATTTGACGACTATATTTAAAAGTACTACTATTTTTAACAATCCTAACACTCGGTGAAACATAAATTTTAAGAAACACACTCGTGAATTAAAATCATAGGCGGGCCTTACCAGCGAAGAGTGGGTAATTTCGAAGAACAGCTACAAGAACCACTCGGATGATCCATTCGTCTAATCTTATAAAAGTGTTGAAAAGACTCTCAACATATTCCGTGGTTAAAACAAATACCATTAATCATTGAAGTGATTCAAACGGTTGTGGATGGAAAGGAAAAAGCTTGCAATTGATGACCTGCCGTATTTGGTAGCAATGTACCACCAGTGCCTCTGAATTTCTAAAACAACACGAACAACACAAGTAATAGCATCTGCTCCGGCGATCATTAGCTCAGAGGAGAACGGTTTTTGTGGCCTGGTATGAGCAAAGAAGTGAGTACGCTCACGTGTTAGCTGCCATAAATCTATAGTGATCAGAAACAATAAACGTCCTTTAGGCTGTTTCAGTACTCTCCACTTTCGCTTCGGTTGGATCCATTTTCATTTGATAAGATCCTAACCAGATTCGAATGAATATTCCTATCTGTTAACGTGTATGGCCCGTTTTAAATAGTGACCAGGAAACTACTACTAAAAATTGGCCCTCTCCATTCATCAAAAGATGAGTAGCGGACCTAGGCTCCCCTTCCACCATTACTAATAATGGGCGGCAGTTCGAACCTGGGCTTTTACACTCTCTTAGTCAGTCAATTTGTCAGAACTTGAAACCTGTACGTATGTACATAGGTCCAGGTTGTCATACCTTATTAGAGTAGAGCTGAAGCTATCAGGCAAAATCTTAGAACAGCAGATGGAGTAACAGTATCAGTGATAGTAGGAAAGATTGGTCATCGAAGAACAGAAAAGAAGTGGAAAAGGTTATGGGGAATTTAGAACCTCGAGGTTTGGGAAAAGACTGAAGCGGTGAACACACATGTGCCAGGGCAAAACATTTTAGGCCATATTACTTAAAGCTTCTTACCATTGGCCACGATGGTCACGCGGATCCCAACCGAAGAGTTTGTCTCTATTAGCATGGCTAAGTCCAGCTCTCAGCGAATTTATGGAATGATAACATACTTTGATTTGGTCGTTCCTAGCTTTCTTCTAGTCCGCTATTTTACCAGAAGCATCGCTCATCAAGATAGGCAGTGGTTCGGCATACGTAACACGTGTCCAAGCCATCTCAGTTGATGAAGATTTACTATATCATCCGTCATGTCATCCGTACATAGTACCATATTCTTAATCCAAACACCGCCCACTCGGTGGTCCCAAAATACACGAGCAGTGCTTCAAAGATGCTCATGATCGAACACCAGCAGCCTACGAATATACGCTACTTTGTATGGGCATTTTCTCCATCCATAGAGTGAAACGGAGTAAACTGCTGTGCAGTAAACTCACCCTTTCGTCAGTAAACGGAAACCGCGTCTACGTCACAAGTAACACGAGTTGGGAAAAGCTAATTCAGCTTTCAGAATCCGTGCCGAGATTTCGTCAGACAGCTGATGAGACTCCTAAGATAAGTGAAGCGGTCGATGAGACCAACTACTTCACTCTATATCATTAAATTAGACGATAACGTAGGCCAATCCTGAAATGAGATTTTACATTTGCAGGGAGAAAACCGCATTCCAGACATGCGTGCATTGTTGCCCAACGTGGTCAGAGGGCTCTGCATATTTCCAGCAGCTCCATCAAACAGAACTATGTCATTTGTGTACTTTAAATCGACAAGTGAGTCTCTTGGTAGAAAACTAATCTATCAAAAAGTCATATGTAGTAAGTTTTAAATCTAAATGCATGTCTACGATGAGGTTGAATGAAAATGAGGAATGTACACAACCCTGATAAACAACGCTTAGAGTGATCATTCCCTAAGACAGTTCACCATAAGCTTTGACTTGATCAGAGGTGTCCAAGTAGGGACTCTGCTCAAGGTTTATCAACTTTCAATGGCGGACACTATAATAGAACCTTACAATCAGCAGTGTTATATGCTGATATAAGGTCAAGGAATACGATGATTGTCGAATGTTAAGAGTATGCTTTTGTTACAGAATTTACCGAAGCGGGAATATTTGATCCATACATCCACATCCAGATCTAAAACAAAATTGGTCTTCCCGTGTTTGTTGTTCAACAGCTGTAGTTAAACGTCGCAGTACCATCATGGCTACTACTTTAGACACTACATTAGTTTAACCGACTCCTCTATGATTTCAACGGGAAAATTTCCTACTTTCTTATAAACTGTAACGATCATTGATCAGGACCAGTCAAGTGATATGACTTCAAGTTCTCAGACAGCCTTTGGAAAAACCGTGGTGCTTTCAGTACACCTAAACAATTACTACGTGTATGGCATATTCCTAGCTCGCTTCTGTGCCTTAGATTGGTTCCTGGTTTCTATGGTATCCCTTCTGTCCTAAGTCTTGTGTTCTAAAGCTGGTTGGCTTGTCCGTCTAGGGTCATTAATAGCACACTAGCGGAGGAGTTGGCAGTATTGGTAAGTAAATTCCAGAAATGAATGGTTACGTACGATTTCAACATTGACTCTGACCACATGAGTTTAAATGGACACGTATAGGTGATGGTGCCCGGACAAGCATCCGTACTAGATTACTTTTGGGCATTCCGTGCTGCGCATCTCTTTAGACAACTAGGCAGCTTAGGTCAGATACTACTCGACTCATCGACAGCTTTCCATGTATGTTCTCATATCCTTTCATTCTTCACCTTGTTTTGACTGGCGTTAAGATCGTCAAACGAAAAAGATGTTGTGGATAACAGCGTTGTCGAAGATTGTACGCCCGCGAATGGATTACAGACACTGTAATCCTGGAGAATTTTGACAGATTAATCACAGACTCATGATGTGTAGGTCATTTCATCTGACTATTTTGCGGATTGGAATCATACATATCAACTTCCAATGTTCTAAGATCTTGCCTGCGATTTAGGAAGTCACGAGCAGTATACAAATGGGTGGCCTATGATACGACTGTTCAGTGGCTGAGTTAATACCATAGATTCCTGTTACGCTTAACCTGAGACTCATGAATGATCACTCGAACGTCTAGAAGCCTAACAGTGTCTCTGTCACTCCTGGTCGGCTATTAGGACCTGACGACTGTAAGTTATATTTCTCTCGTGGAGAAAAGATAAATTAATAAAATTGGGTTGAAAAGGAACATTCAAACTTTTTGGGCTGTGGCTCTTACTTTCTCTGAGGCTCTAAGGAATCTGTCAAACCTAACAGTCACTAGCGTTATTGAAGCAACTTAAACCTCTCCCATTCAGTATTTGCTATTCGATATAGGATCTCAGTTGCTGAAGACTACGAATACTCTTAATAATTTTTCAGATACATGAAGCAGCACTTTCAGACAAGTACATATCTTCCTAAAACTAGGACCTCAAAGGTGAGAAGATGTACTGAATGTTCAGGCTTATGACCGTGGAGATAGATCTCACTAGCGACTCATAAGTAGGACTGAATAAGTGGTAAAAGTTCGAAAGTTTTTATTTCTGAGATGCTGCCTACTCATGTAAAGTCACAAGTCACGCTAACCCTAAACTGCATGGTTTTCTCATAGTCGGCTCTTTCCTGGCAGTAAACATTGTAGCAACGGGGTAGGGCATCAGAACGCAACACTACGGTCCTCATGATGATGCTGAAGCTATTGATCGTGTGTACGATTCGACAGTGTGGGACGCATAACGTACGTAGAAAATTTCTAACTCAAACATCAGAAGTAAAACACAAATCAAGATTAAACGGTTTCCATCCAAACGAGGTCACGTTGTAAGAGTGAGCGCAACACCAGCTGAATGTTAACTCACAAAGCGTAGTTTAACCTAAGATATCAATTTAGTTTATCTTACATGTTAGCAAAATTTCAAAAGATTTTAGGTCTTCTGGACACTGAAAATTCCAAAGACAATACGCAATGACACTGATAGCTTGATGGGCCAAGTGGAATTAGACGAAGTAGCGGATTTTTCAAGAGTCAGTTGATCTGACTAATTTCCAACAACAGTGTAGCACTAAATAACAATCACTATAATCTCTACTGCCAGTGAGAGGAGGTTCGAAACTGTACTTTGCATATCCTTCTATGAGAAGAGATTAATATCATGAGATCCATTTTAGTCATACTATCATAGTACTTGAAGTTATTTCGTATAAATGGCCCACCTCCCGAATAATGGCATGGTTGACAACATATTTTATCATCCACTTCCTTTAACGAATATAAGTCTTCAATCCCGACCCAGAAGTATAAATATCAAAATAATGCGGGCTTAAAACACGACTTCGCCTTTTCATCGAGTGATCAACCTAGAGAACACCGAATATAAGTAAGTAGTATCCGTCCTGTCAGTAAGCGTTTTCAATCAGAAGTTGAATCTTCAGAGAAATAAATACTGAAAAGACCAAAACTAACGAACTATATTTGTTACTGAAGAGTCCAAGTAGGAAAGTTCTTTTCATGGTAAATACGACGCTGACACAACTGAAACCTGAATCGTTGTTATAAACATTTTCACAAGCGCTTATTATCAAATTACTACGTATTTCCGCTAACACAGTTGTTCATTGCTTTACAATGAATGGTGAGTTTTATGTTTTGGAGTAACATCACGTTTTCTCTCATTCTTTTAACTTTGGAACATTCCGTCACTTACGGTAATAATTCAGTGTAAGTTTATCTACTACGTGAACCATTTTTATTACTTATCACCCATATGGAACAATCTTAAAGTTACCTGGCAGTAGTTTCCAGAATTGCTGATTTTAAACTACGAAATTTTGCTCTGAAAATGCGAATTTCACTATTCTAGAGTTCAATAATATTTCAACGTTTTTCTTCTGAAAAGTGACGAGATGAAATAACTGAATAACGAAATTCGGTAATCATAAAAAGTCAGGTAGAAGAATGAAATTAATGATGAAAGACATTAGCACAAATAACCAAAAAGAAAAGGTTGGTGGATACTCAGTCACTGTGATGTTCTATCATTAATTTGTACGACACGTAATCGTTTACATTTATATGAGAAATCCCATACTCATATCCTTGTTGGTCCTATTAACTAAGCTATGATATTTAACTCATGAATT